TTGTATTTCACTATGAGGCGGGGTACGTATCTCTTGGCGCCTTTAGGTAGTTTTATCCAAGTCCGAAATTCTTCTAGCAATTCAAATCGAGCAAAGTTTCTTCCGCATTCTCAGACCCTGGATATTTCTGCCCCTTCTCCATATGCTACATTTCCCATAGTAATTCCGTAGCTGTTGTTATTATTAGACACCCTTAGACTGCGATGATGTACTGTACTGTACATTTAAGTCGCTTCTACCGTTTTAGGGACGACGTCTGCGACGGCGAGCGTGGGTACGTTTTTGCCGCAAGTGGACTTTTAGCACAAAACAGCACTGCGCTATTAATAATATTAATAAGTGCCTGGCATCGGGTACCGGTACAGCAAATGCCATGATCCGATTCGGGACGCTTGAAGCTGGCTGCAGTTGCGCGTGTTCGAGAGCGCAAGCACCGTAGCGCTACCTAATGAGACATATCTTCGTCCAAGAGTGTTGGTCACCCGCTAATTCGGAGTAAAAAATCAGTTCGATTTTGCTGTCGACCCGCCGGAAATTCAAACATGCATTTATATGTTAAAGTACTACTGTACATGTACACATATACACGCGTTGCCCGCACTGTGGTGACAACGTCTTGCCAGTGCTGTTCATCTGCTTGGTCTCTATGTTGTCTCACTAAACGGATAACGAGGCAAAATTGGCTATTAGGATAGCCTCAGACTCAGCCACGACACTATTTTTTTTCTGCGCCCCTTATCTGCGCCCCTTATTTTCGGCCTTTGGCTTTACTCTCAAGGTCTTAAAACGTAATCTGCAACTCCGTGTCTCAGCATCTTGCTGACAGAAAACCTGTGTAACAGCCTATTCTATCCCTTTCAGCAAGTCAAATACGCGTAATCTTGGGGTGCGTATCGCAACTGGGCGGACGGAAATAGAAGGCGCCTCTGCACTCTGAGCTTTCGACACCTGCGTCTGGAGCTGTCATAATCGAACTCGCTCTGAACACCACACCCCATACATACACACAGACAGACACCATGGCCTTTGAAAGCACCATGGAGATCACACGCGGCGGCGTGGAGACCAAGCAGGGCGCCCCGCAGCAGGAGACGCCTGTGGCTGACGAGTCGTCGGCTATGACGTTCGCCATCCCGGCACCCATCGCGTCGGTGCGCGCCAACATCGCGGCCTTCGAGGAGACAGCATTCGTAAGCTGCTCACGCGCTACGAGGGCTCCGACGTGCTGCCGATTGGCTGGCGCGAGGGCCCGAGCAACAAGGGCATCCAGGTCGTCTACGGTGAAGTGGACGGCAAGGGCAGCGAGTGGTACACCATGAAGACGACGGGCATGCTCCACGTGAGTGCTACCAAGGCCGCACAGATTCTCATGCGCAGCGACATGGTGCCCAAGTTTGACGACATGACAAAGGAAGTTAAAGTCATGGAGAAACTCAGTGACGCCTCTGAGGTGCGTCGTGTGACCGCCAAGTCAATTATGTTCACGGCCGCTCGAGACTTCTCTGTCGTGTCTACCTACCGTGAAGAAGCCAGTGGCCGCATCCTCATCGCCACACGTTCAGTCGAGTACGTACCCGAACGCAAGGGTTACGTTCGTGCGACCATTTTGATTTCGGGCTACGTGGTGACGCCTCACCCGACCAACCCCAACATGTGCGAGATGAGTGTGATTGCGCACATGGATCTGGGCGGCAACCTGCCGGCTATGGTCGTGCGTTACCTCGGTCTGTCTGCGCCGATCAAGCTCGTCGAGAAGATCCACGAGATCACTCTGCGGGCATAATATGCGTAACTTTTCCTCCAGAAATCACAGTCAGATAGCATGTACCAGTAGTAAGCTAACCACGAAGAAAGATAAGAACGTGGTTTTCCAAGTTTTATCCTCTTTTTTCTTTCGCCTTCTTGGATGAGAGTTTTTGCAGCCAGTGAACCACAAAAAGCATTCTCTGTACACGCTGACGCTGGTCGGAAGAAACCGCTCGAGAGACTCAACAGAAGCGTTAAAAAGAAACAGGCTCCCAAACTCGCTTCATGGCGGTGCGCCTGGCGTTGGCCAGCCGATCCCAAGCAGCGGAGAAGAGCTCAAAGCTGTCGCCGAGGACGTCGCTTAGGAAAGCGCAGTCTGTGAGCCACGAGACGCGTGGAAGATGCAGGTTCGTCTCTGCTTGAAGAACTCTGCTTGCCCGCAATCAAGTCGCGGTAGTTTACGCACAGAATTCTTTTATCTACTGTAGTGCGTGGGGCTTTTTGAAGAGCGAGCTACCAACAACACGACGGCAGCGACGGCAGATCATATTAAGCTGACGGAGCAAACTGCTCCGCTTCAGTCTATCGTGCGCGTTTCATCAGAACCGCACATGATTATATTTAGTAAAATGCACACAAAACTTTTCCGGTTGAATTTTGCACGGGCTAAGGCGTCGAGGCTGGACCTAGCTCACTCTCCATTAAGTCTATGGCGTTTCACTTAGATTAACTAAACTTTCGTCCGAAAATATATTTCTGGTAAAAATGAGTTTGTTTGTTTAGGTTTTCCTCCTAATATAATATTCTAAATGAAATAAAGTATATATTTACGAATGGCTGACAGAATCCTACTATTCTAATTGGTTGAAGATATTGACTTTCAGCCAATGAATGCCTTGAATGCTTGCAGACCAACATTCTGCCAAATGTATCCATTGGTGTATCTCACACCAATGTGGAAAACCTCTTTCGCAACCAAGTGGCTATGTGTAGCCACTTGCGTGTAACCCCGCTACACCCCCCCCGTTAAGCTAAGACTTCCCTAGTCCTAACATTCATTCAAAGTATTGACGAGGCCGTCAAATTTTTTGAAAGAGCCCGAGCTCATTTTGCAATGAGCTCGCCGATGAAGTC